TTTTTTTTTTTTTTTTTTTTTTTGTGTGAGAACTGAATAAAACCTTTTCTTCTGCCAGGTCTGTGTGATGATACTCTTATTGATCAGTTCTTGTTTTTTAGGGAAAAAAAAACCTTTTATTTATGTGAGTCTGATTATTTAACTCTACATGTTTTTAACTTCTAAGGGGTGGGGCAGAGGGGGACACATCAAAACAGAACTAATAATTCTGCAAATTCTTAGAAATTTTATATCAATACATTTCAGGAATGAAAACATAATGGAAATATTTTAATACGTCTTTTTTCTCTTTATTATTTTTGGAGTGCCAATGCCAATGACTGAGAAACTGCATTCATTTTATTGCTTGTACTTACCCAACTATAGCCAGAAGCTTGCCTGAAAAATAAATGTTTAGAAAATTTGTTTTATAAACTGCATTAAAGCATTTAAACACATTTAAACCCCACCTCCCAACCAATGTGGCCTTATTCAAGGTCTCAGTGTGAAAATTCTCTATAGGAAATAAACTTGCCTCTTATCAAACTAGTTTATCACAGATCCTCCCTGACATTATGTGGTGAAGGCACTATGTACATTTTACTTTCACGGATTAAAAAAAAATCAGAAAAGAGAAGATGTTTGGGATCCTTTTTTGGGGGGTAAAAAAAAAAGCATTTATTGCTTATGGGACATGAAACTGTGTTTTTTTGTCTCGCTTCATATTTTGTATGCTGTTGTCTCTAATAAGACTGTACATAGCCTGCCTAAAAAATTCCATGGTTTGGAAACAATGCTGGTTTGTTTTTTGGAATGATTTTTGTATCTTTGAAGTTGGTAATGAACTCCAGGGTCTGGATTTTTCCTGAGGAATGTGGACTAGGATCTGTTGGGTTTGAGATAAATCAAATCTAAAACAATAAAAGTCAATTTGGAAAACCAAGCTGATTCGATTGATTCTTGTCCCCCTGAGTTGACTCTTTATTCAGTGGAATTAGCTGGTTGTTAGGGTACTATATGAGCAGCTCTGGCTTCTTTCCCAAGTCTGTCTCAGTTTGTATACATGAAAATCCGCCTTGCTTTAGACAGAATGTCAATAAAAGAGGGTGGGATCCTCTGGCACCTGGCTTGTTCTTTAGCCACTGGTGTCTCGCTCTCACCACAAAGTGTCTTCTCTTTCATAGAGGAAAGTGCATGAGAGCCCTTAGTCTGATTAAAATTGTGTGTATCCATCCCTTTGCTTGGTTGCCATACAACTGGGAACAGGGCTACCAGGACAGAGCTTTCTGTTGCCCACTCAGACACAGAGTCTAGAGTGATTTTCACAAGAGGCCGAATCCCCCTCTTCACTGGCTGCCTTTTCATAATGGGCTTTTTTCTTATTATTACTGTAATAAATTGCCACAAATTTAAAACTTAAAAACTCACAAGTTTATTGTATTATAGACTGGAAGTCAGACAAATCAAAATTAGCCATACTGGTATTATACACAGCTAAATTAGATAGAAATTAATATACAGTCAGAGAGAGACTCAGTTCTCAAAGAAGTCAGTAAAAATATGAATATCAGAATTGTGTCTGGAGGCACATTTGAAGAAGGCAGGGCCTCAAGATAAAGTCACACTGGCCTGACTTACACATTTTCCTAAGGGATAAGCAGAATTTAAGACTGCAGTACACTGTCATTCCTACCACCCAGTCCATTAAGTCCAGATATACATCAGATACCCAGGTGGCTCAATGGAACACTTGGACCCATTCCTTCCCAAAATGTTCCTGTTTTAGAAGTCATGGGTAAGCCAAGGTTCATAGCATCAGTCACATAGCCTTGCTACGTGCCCTGCTTCTCTATTGGATCAATATTAGCTAAACTGCTATACTTGTAATCTGTTTGATTATAGTTTGACCCACACTGTACCCACATTTGAGACTGTTGTATAAATTACCCATGACAAAATGTCTCAGTGGTCAACCACTTCTGGGACTTTCCTGTCTCTCAATAAACCTTTCCTTCTCTTAACCTCCTTTGTTCTCTGGAATTCATTCTTTGACTTCAGGGGACACGAACTCAGCAGTCTGACATCTAGCAGGTTGGGGGCTGTATTTCTCCTACATCACTAGGATAAGTCAAATTATTGGCAGGGATGTAAGGAGAGTGCATCCATCTCCTGGCCCTTTCCAGCTTTAGGCAGTGGTCTGCATTCCTTGGTGGGTGACCTATCCTTTTGTTTCTCCAATCTCAAGCTTCTTTTTCAAAATTTTGGTACCGGGGATCAAACTCAGGATCTTGCGGGTGCGAGGCAGGCATGGTACCACTGAGCTAAATCACTGGCCCGTCCAATCTCTAGCTTCTATACTCAGCTCTTCAACTGTGCACTCTAATCTCCTTCCTGTTAGTCCCACCTGGATAATCAGGACATCCTTCCCATATCGAGATCCTCCATTCAATAAAATCTGCAGAATCCCTTTTACCATATAAAGGAACATTCACATGTTCTGGGGATTATGACAGAAACATCTTGGGAGGCCATTATTCAGCCAACTATACATAGTATTGCAAGATGTTGTAGTCATTATTATGAATCCAGCCCATTTCCTAAACTTGATTATAACAGCGAGCATGTGGGGTTAACTCAGACCTACCTGTCATTCCAGATTCCATTGGTTCTAGTTTCTACCCTATAATTTTGTTAAAGAGAAATTCTGACTTGTGTGACATGTTCCAATTTCAGCAACTGTTTACACAAAATTCCCAAGTGGAAGAACATGGCCCTTCATTCCTGTAAGGATGAGGAATGGGCAATAGTTCTGGATAAGACCGCAGCTGGCCAAGTGTGATGCTTTCCTTTAATCAGTTCATCAAATTTTCATTAAACAGCTGATGTACACCAAGCAAAAGACGCTTTAAGAGATGCTTTCTGCCCCTCAGCAGCTGGCGATCCAAAGGGGAGAAATGGGATGAAGCCAGATTCTACAGAGCTGAGCACCCGATGCTTCACTAAACATCTCTGTCTGCCTGCAAGAAGAGCTCAGTGAAGGGATCAAGCCATGGAGCTTGAAGGTTAGGGAAGAATTTCCTGGCTACAGGCGACCCTTGGAAGATAGAGTTAGACTTCAGAAGGTGAATGGAGGCTCACATTTCACGAGGGCAGTGATATGCAAAAGGACAGTGGACAGAACAGTCATGAGAAGGTAGGGTGTAGGAAGGTGAAGCCCTTGACTGATGGGCAAGAAGGACTTCCTTTGAGCACCACGGAAGATCAGACTGGACGGTGGAGGAAGCTGACAGAGGAGTGTTGAGTGGATTGGATAGGGGCAGAGGCCTATACTTGCTTTTAAGGTGGAGAGTGCAGGGGTGAAGCAGAGGCCTTGAAAGACGCAGGAGAGTTGGGGGCTGGGGGAACCCCAAGGGGCCCCTGAAATGTGATATTAAACCAAACCCAAGTTGCCCATGTCCTAGGGAAGGCGGCTCTCATGCTCTGGACCTGCTCCTGCCTGCCTCCTTGCCTGCTTAAATTCTCCACCCTCTCTGATCTCCCTCCTCCTCAGAAACTGGTGCTCACTCTTGGCTCTCACCTTATTTGGTCAGATCACGCCATGGTCCCTGTGCAGTTCAGCTGCATCCTCAGGGGCTCTTGGCTTCTAGGTAAAAGCTGCTGGATGTCTTTGTAGACCTCCCAGGTCATACAAGGTGCCAGCACCTTGAGTATGTGCTCGTGGGGGGAATATCCTTGTGTGTTTATCCATTTATTTGTCATCTGACGAAGAATTATGAGCACGTGCCCTATCCCAGTCCTGTGTCTGATCTTGTAATAGAGACAGAGTCTCTCACAGAGCTTTCAGTTCATTGAGTGAGATAGACATTGGTCAAGGGGAAATGTTAATATGTGCAAATTGGAATTGTACTGTGCAGAGGCCCTTGATGGCACTGAAACTTGTCATAGGAGAGTCCGAGCTAGCCAGGGTGGCTTGGGGAGGACTTTCTAGATCCTTCATGGCTTCATCTGCTCAAATGTGTCCCTGTCAGCTCTCAGAGAGGCCTTTTCTGACCACCTCACCTCACCTCTCCATGCTGGAGTCCTTTTTATTGTGTTCACTCTGACCTAAAACATGGAAGTGTGCACACACAAGGTGCTGATCAGACTGAGTTTCATGAGAATGAAAGTTTAGTTTGTTCATTTCAAATTTGTTCCCAGAGCCACACCAATGACTTTCTGATGGACTTAAGGACACATTGAATGCATGAATGAAATAAGGATGAGCTCAGATCTGTAGGAAAGCAGGGGCATACAGATGTAAAAGAGCCAGGGATAAAAAGGAAAAGCTGTGCTAGAGGCCTGTAGTACATTTGTATAGGTCCAAAGCTATCATTAATTCATTCCCAAGGTACTACTTATTTACTACCACTGCCACATGCCAAGCACTGTTCCAGGCCCTGAAGGCAGAGTAATGAGACACAATCCCTGCTGTTAGACCATTTAAATGTGGGGAGAGGAGTGCAGACAAAAAACGGTCAGTATCAGCGGCACCATGAAAATGCAGACAGAAATGTTCTGGCGAGTTCTAGGCAGTTCTGAGCAACAAAATCATTCCATCTGATTTCATAAAAGGTGATGCTGGCCACTGGGTGGGGTTGGACTGTGAAGTCAGGAGAGAAGGTGGGAGACAACCTGGCAGCTCTGCAGTGGTTTGAACAAGAGACAACGATGGCTGAGATCAAGGAGAGAGGAACGGACATGATGAAGGAAGATTAGATTTACGCTCAGTTCTGAACAGAACTTACCGGCATTTGAGCCAGCTGTGAATTTGATGTGGAGATAGGGGCTTTTGCCTGAGGAAGGAGTGGTGGGGATTCTATTTATGAAGCTGGGTTAAAGAGAGGCTAATTAAATTAGCAGAGGTTTTAGGCAGGGGGAAGGCAAAGTTCTATTT